CCTCAGCTTTGCATCTTACCAGGTTAACAATGTCTGACTGGCTCATACTAAAAAAAATTGTTGACTGAATCTGACTCAAATTCATTCCACCATTGCCCCTGCACCACCCTCATCCTCCTTCCTCAACCATCAATTTAATCCCTGGAAAAGGAAAAAGAAACTAGAACACAGGCGCACAAAATAAAGAAACACGTACAGAGACTCGTCTGATCAAGGGAAGAAGACAACTCAAAATTGGAATTAGGCAGTTTTGGTCTTTGAAGATACCCATTTTGGCTGAATCTACCACAACTTTAAATTGTCTTGCATAACTAATTTCTGGAAATTACTAGTTGGACCCTGAACTTTTCTAACCAATTATTATTATTATTATTATTATTATTATTATTATTATTATTAGAGCATAAGGGTAAAATGGTCATTTTGCATCAGTCAGCATATTCAGTCAGATGTACAGTCAAACATAATGATTTCTTACTCAGTCATAATTTATTACTGAGACAGACCTTTCCCAGTCAGCACTTTCTCAGTCAGCAACTATCAAACGGGACCTAAATTGGAATGGGTGGATGTCTAAAAAGGTTAATTGTTTTGTTTGTAGATTTTGCTTGAACCATATTCCATTATCTACTCTCTTAAGCTCTTGGGTCAAAGAGGCGTGCAAGTTCACAGTCGATCCTTTCATTTATGTTCAAATAGTATTGAGGATATCGACCACCTTTTTTATTGTTGTATATTCTCGCATTCAATTTGGGATGCTATATTTCATCAAATTGCTCTTGATCTTGGGCCACCAAAGTCTTAAACCTGATCAATCTGTCTCACTCGATGTCCTCTTCTCAGCCCCAAAAAAGAAGCTTGTTGGTGCTATTATAGGTGTGGTTTTTTTGGTATTTATGGAAAGCCAGGATGGAGTGTATATTCAGGAAGGCCAAGATCGATGTTAATAAATTAGTGGAAGTTATTGAACTCTATCTCTTTTCGTATGTCAAGTATTAGGGACAATTTTGGAATCTTGGTTGGATAATTGTTGGCTTTTCTCCTTCTGCGGATTGTCATTTGTAATACTTTAACTTTGTAATTGCATTTCTTGCTAGCCCATTTCATTGAATGAATTATCCGTCATTCTAAAAAAGCTAAAAATGATATACCATAATTGCTTGTTGTAATTGATTTTCGAACACAATATTCAAAATAACATAGTTGGGGACTTATCCTACATGATACTATTTTGAACAGCTTAGACGGGATTAGCATGGAGAAAACACTAATATAAGTTGTTTGAACTTTTGTAGTTTTTCGTATAATTAGTGTTTGTTATGACTTTTGATCTTTTGTAACCCCCACTTTGGATTTTTATAATGTATATATAATTTGAATCTATGGACTTGTGTCATTTGACATGAGATTAATGCTACTAATGTCTATATTTTCTACTAATTCTCGATGATGAAATAATGAGGTGTTACACCTAGCTTGAATACCTCCGTTTCAAAAAAAATAACTATGGAAAGGTTGACTTCCTTGTCTATTAACGTAACTTTGTGAGCCTAACCCCCTTAATTGAGAGTGCTTCGTCATTCCAATTTTGAAAAAGTGATCCACAGAAATGGCTTTCCATGAAAATGTACTCCTGAATCCAAAATCTGAAATACTTGACATGGAATTCCGGACTACATGGTGATTTTGGAAAGAGAAATTAAATATTCTTCTACTTTTTGTTCTTACCAATCCCCCTATCCATTTAAATGATAACATGTGTGACATTAGTAAAATATCATTAAATTTCATTAAATGAACATTAAATATTACACATGTCACCATTTAATTGGGTATGAAGATTTGTAGGAACAAAAAATAGAATGATATTTAATTTCTCTTTTGGAAAACAAGTTAAAAGTTTTTTATATTTAGATATCTTTGTTGTTTATGATGGTCATTTTATGATTATCCCTTTCTTTGGAATGACTGAAGTTTCTTAAAACTAGCAAGGTGCTAGAAATGGAACATGCTACAAAATAGACATCGCCAATCTAGAATTCTAAAGCAAACTAACACATTTTTCCTCACAAATCCAAAAATAAGATTTGAGAGACCACATTATCAAATATTTTTGACTTTCTAGGCTTAGCCGTTCCAAAAACAGTGTTTTTACGAATATTCTAAAGAACTACATTAAGTTTAACTTTTTCTGATCAAAATATAAAATCCACTAACGTAGTAACCAAACGAAAATCAAGATCTCACCACCTAGCAATCGAGGACCAAGTAATATATTACATGCCAATCGAGTAACTTACAAATAGACGATTAACATTCTTAAAGGATAAATTGCACATGAAACAAAATAAGTTTAAAACATGTAAAAAAAATTTAAACAGCAGAAAATATTTTTAAAATACTAGCAAGGAGCTAGACAGAATCCATTACAACGAAATAGAGGCTAAAGTTGGATTATGGAGCCAAGGGGTATTATCAAAACAAGCTTTTAAAATAAACAATCTCAAATGTCCGTAACGTTAGTGACTTGGTGTCGTAGAAAGTTTTGTAAAAAAAGTTATTTCGAAATCATAAATATAGAAGAATTTGATATGTTTGACAAAATGAAAGAAGCAGATTATACGAGGGCCCAGGCCCATATTCCACTTGCTAAGCATTTACTTTCTTTGAAGTTTGAAGTTTGAACTTTGAAGTAATGAATCCAATGCAACTTTCCACTACTCTCCTACAAACAGTGTTGTAAAACTCGTCGAGTTGGCCGATTACTCGTCCGAGTACTCTCTACTCGGCCCCTTACCGAGGCGAGTTATAGAATCCGAGTAATCCCCAATCGGCCCCTTACTAAAACGATCAGTGTTGTAAAACTCGGCCAAATCGGTGATTAATATGTATAATATACTTAATGATTTATTATTTAACACACACATATGTGATTATTACTACATATATATCTTAAATTTCCAGTTATTATTCATGAAGTGAGACCATTGAGTGTTTTTCATTTTTTCTGTATTCACATGTATCTGATTTTGTTATATATTTCAACCAAATTATGGTTTTAACTTATGATTTTGACATATATAATTTCTCTAAAAATATTTCTACATGAATTATCGAATCCGAGTACTCCCCGAGTACTCCCGATTACTCCCGAGTACTCGCTACTCGGTAGTCGGCCGAACAGGTACCGAATAATGAGTTCTACAACCATGCCTACAAATGGCTTTTTTTTCTTTTTGGAACCGGCAGATTTTATTAAAACCACGGCCTAAAGGAAAAAGACTGGGCACAAAAGAAAAAACAAAAACAAAACTTACAAAATGTCAAAAGGGGAACAAACCCAACATTCCCATCTACAATTTCCAAAATTACCCTTATATTTCAGCCAACTAAAAATCATAGAAATCACATTATCTGCCAACTTTGAAGAGTTCACTTGGATTCTTTTAAACCAAACGTCGTTCCTTGCTTTCCACATACACTATAGAAACCCATAGCAGATAGCAAGAAATATTTTTCTCTTTTTTGGACAGTTCCCCCATGAGACAGCAAAATTAACAAAATCTGAAATCGAAAGGAACCTTTGAATAGAAATGTCACACCAATTGAAAATCCAGCGTAGAGAATCAAAAGCAATCGGACAGTCCAAGAGAATATGATCCGCAGTGTCCACACCGCTAAAGCACATTTGACAGGAAATAGAAGACATGTTGATACCTCTCCTGGAAAGAGCTACTACAGTAGGAATACGCCCCGTACAAGCCCTCCAAACAAAGCTAATGCACTTGATAGGAACTAAGTGAAGCCAATCCAAGGATATGAGGTTCTTCTCTTTTTTAAGGTCGAAAGTTGAAGTGTATGTTTAAAACATAAATGAAATTAAAAATAGCTACATAAAAAAAAAAAATTTGTTGATTCCAAAAAAATCCTATTCTCCTTTATTTCATCAAATATTCCGGAGCACCACTAAACCTAGAAATCAAATCAATTGTGTGATATTAATTTTTTTAAGGAATCCAATCTTTAAACCTTCTTTTTCTTCAAAAAATCGATCAAAAATCGTCAACTTGTCTTATATCTTTTTCTTTTTTCTTTTCTTTTTGTCAAATGATAGTAGATGTTCATGGGCAACTATAATGAATATTTGACCATACAGTTGCCATCAATATCGTTGACCCCACTTTTTTAATTTGAACTTCCTTTTGACTATATAAAATATCCAACTCTTTAGACTTTAAACCATTTCAACAATCATTAACCAATTAATCTCTCTTTTGCACCTTGTACATTTGATAAATGCATTTGATCATTTTTTTCATTGTTATTAGAGCTTCTCGTTGTGAAGATTATTCTTTTGTGTAACCAATAGTCCAATATTGGTGAAAGATTTAATAATTTATATGTTGGATATTCAAATTGTAAAAAAGAATAATTTACTACCAAAATTTATAAAAATAAGATAATTAATTATCATATAACCGACCATTTAGAAAACATGACACTTGAAGAAACTAGTGACACTATTTTAAATTTCAAAAGGAATCGAAATGTGATCAAATTACATTCACTTTTTTTTTTTTTTTTGAAAATTCAAGATTTTAGTTTTAATCCAAAAGATTAAATGAGGAATTAGTGCAAATTAATTGGATGATTAATTAAATTATTATTTTAACTTCGATTGAAATAGAGAGATCCAAATTGTACAATTGAAGCAAAAGATCTCTAACATTAATCGTAATTAAGCCATTATCTAAATCGACGACTCCGTTACCCGCGGCGAGGTCAACGGAAAAAGAGGCAGCAGCTGTGGCTCCGTCGTCCCATGTGGCGTCGCCGCCCTAGGCGACGGATGCAAATAAAATCCTTTTGCCGCAATTACTCTCTCTTCTTCCGACGAGTTCCCAATCGACGGTGACGATTTATTAAACCGGTCTTCGATCAATGGCGTCACCGGACTAAGAACAAGCGCCGGAAAATCAAGAATGCTTGGAGAGAGCATTTCATGGAGTCGCGGCGATAACCCATGACCATGGAGCTTCGGCACCGATGCGTTGATCATCAGCCCGTTTTTCAGGCTGTTCCGACGCTCGTAGAGCTTGAATCCTTGTTTCTTCTGTTGACCGGTTTTGATCGGCGGTATGGATGTCCTCGTCGGCGCCGGATCTGGTTGGTGGGTCGGTTTTGATGATCCAGTTAGCATCTGGACTACTTGTTTTGAAGGAAGTTGTGTCTGCTTGAACGAAGGTTGTTGGGTATGGATTTGGTTCGGATCTTGAAACGGGTCTTGGAGTTAGTGGTGGTGTTTGGACGGAGCCACCGCCGGCGGTATGTCCATTGCTGTTGCTACTGCTGCCATGGCTGGACGGAGAGTTCGTCGGAGATGGGTTTTCTCTTTCGTGTTGTTGTCTTGATACGATCTCCATTGATGGATTTTTGTACTACTTCGATTTGAAGATGAAATCGATGGGAGAAAAATAAAGTGAAAAACAAGAGAATTTGAAGAGATTGAGGTTTTGTTGGGGTGTCTGTGGACTACAGTATCCAACTTTGTGTCATCTTAGGGTTAATATTACATATTATCCACATGAATTTTGGTGTTCAATGCATTTAGCTCCTTCGTCTTTTCAATTATGTATAAAGGTGTCAACTTGATAATTAATTATTTTAGTTTTTTTTTTTTGGACAAAAAGTCTATCGAATTTCGAGAATCTTATAAACGTCTACAACAACAAAATTGATTTTTAAGAGAATGTAAAAGTTCTTAAATAGTAATTATCAAGTTAAAACTTATCTCAGTAAGTTAGGTGTTTAGTTTTTAGTAAATAGTTTATAAAAATTCATTAAACTAATACCTAACGTTTTTATTACCGGAACATAAGCTTATAGGATGCTTGTTTTTACTAAAAAAATCAAAATTTGATTTTCAAGAATATGCACGGTTATATGATTGATCAGTATATTAAATGGATTACGTTTTAAGTAAAATATAATTTGTATCTAAAACAAACATATGTTTTTATATGTTAGTTTAGTTAGATCAAATTCAAAAGATTCCGAGAATAATTGATCCAAAATTCTCTTAGATCCAAAATGAAAGTTAGTCGCTTTAGATATTGAGCATATGTATATCATATCCATAGTTGTGGTAAGAGAATATCAATATGTACTAAAGTGAAAAATATTTTATATACCAAAGTTAATGGGTGGTGAAGCACAAGTGAATTTTGGTGGTATTGTTTTTGTGGGTTACAAATGAAATAAAGAATCGTCATAGGGGACAATGAAAAAGAGAGATTGACCTGTCAACTATTTTCTTGTTTTTAATGAGATGTGTCTAGGGATGAAAGTGGATCCAAACCCGGTCCGGATAGACCTATACCCAGATAATCCGGAAACCGATTAACAAGATTTTGTAGCACGGAAAACCGGACCGGTATATAGGAATCGGTTCCGATTCGGTTCCGGATAAAATGAGTCTAAAACCGGAATACCCGAAAAAATCAAAGAGGGTCAGGTGGAACCTGTTTAATTGGGTCTACAACCGTGAAAACCCGGGAAAACCGGAATTTTTCGGTAATTACTTAGTGGGTTGAACTTTGAAAATTTTCAATTTTGATATCTCGACATCGGGAGACTGTAATTCATTGAATACTAAACTAAATATAATAAAATTATAGTGTAAAATCATGTACAAACTCTAAACTACACGTTGAAAAAAATTTCATGATAATCCTACTTCAAACAAATTAGATAGGCATGTTTCAGAATTTCACATAAAAAAAAATAGAAAATTTTCAGCTTTGATATCCTGACTTTGGAGGACTATAAGTTAATGAATATGAACCAAAAATGAAAAAATTATAGTCTAAAATCATATACAAACTCTAATCTACACGTTGGAAAAAACCGCATGCTAATCCGACTGCAAATGAATTAGATATTCATGTTTTAAAATTTTCATAGAATACAAAAAACTGAAAACTAGAAAATTTCCAGCTTTGATATCCTGACTTTGGGGGACTATAAGTCAATGAATATGAAACCAAAAATGACAAGATTATCGTCTAAAATCATGTACAGACTATAAACTACACTCTGGAAAAAATCACATGTCAATCCGACTTCAAACGAATAAGATATGCATATTTTAAACTTTTCACAGAAACCAGTTCCGACCCCTAAAACCGGTTCCAGTTCTTAATACCTGTTCTGGTTCTTAAACCCGCTTTATCCGGACCTGAGGGACCCAAAACCCGGATAAATCTATTCTTTAAACCCGAAACCCGGACCGATTCTACATATTTCGGTTCTGGTTCGGTTTTTCGATTTTAAATCTCATCCTTACTTGTATGTATGTGTAAAGAGAAGTGTGTGTATATGTGAAGAGAAGGTGAGGGTTAATATTGAAAGTAATGATGGCAATATGTATCTAATCTTAATAGTAGTAATCTATTTAATTTTTTAATGATGTTATATAAGTTATAAACATTTTATACGTTTCAATTTTATATAAACAAAATTCAATATTTGAATGTTTATGGTATATATAATTTAACACTTTATGAATATAATCTTAATCATCAATACATCTTTTTCATTACATTTTAATACTTAAGAAAGCAAAAGAAAATGATAAAATGACAAGAATTTAACATGGTTCGATCGATAAGACATATGCCCACGGACAGGAACAAGAGAAGTTTTATATATACTATGGAGGGTAAACATGAAAATTTAGAAAATGGAGGGATGAAAGTGAGAATTTAGAAAGTTCAAATCTAGGGGATGAAAATAAAATTTTACAAAGTAGTGCAACGTTGCCAAGTTCAAAACTAAAGGGGGTTAAAGTGACGTTCTTACAAAGTGGGGGACGATAATCGTAGATGGATAGGTTAAACTCAAAAGTTTAGAAAGTCGATGAGTGAACATGACATTTTACAAAGTTCAAAACAAGGGGGTTAAAGTGATATTTTACAAAGTTGAATGGTGGTAACCGTAAAAAAATAGATGAGATATACTAAGATAAACATGAAAATATATAAAATAGAGGAAGTGAAAATGATATTTTGAAAGTTCAAAGGCTAAAAGATGAAAATGACATTTTATAAAATAGAGGGGTGAAAAATATCATTATACAAAGTATAAGGTTACAACGTCGATGGAAAGTGGAAACATCAGTTGCAAAAATTAATATATAGTCAATGTTTAAGTTAGTAACTTTTTGTTTGAGCATTTACAATAGAAATTTTTTTGTAAGCTCTTTTAAGAGCTTATATGTCAAATAAGCTCATGAAAGTATATAAAAAAAATTAAACCAAAGTTTTTCCAATGAGCTTGTAAAATGATTTGAGTTTTTTTTTTCAATGGTTGTGGTGGTAAAATAAATTTTTATTAGAATTGCAAATAAAACATTATAACAAGAAAAAAAACAATAAAATAATATAAATAAATCTGATATGTCCTATAATAAATTATATAAAAAAGCTCTCAGTTCTTTTTAGCTTTATAAATTGATAGGGTATAATAAAAATGCTCACCTAATGAGTTCTACTATTATAAATGTTTTTAGTAAAAAAATAACATGGTAAAGGAAAAAAAAAAAAACTATATATGATTGAAGATGCTCCAAGCTTAAATAACATGGTCGTAGTCGTGATCGGTGGGAAATGCTCATAAATGGTGTTTACCAACAAATATAAATAACGGCAAGTTTGATGTGTATTTAATGAAAGTTTTAAGATTTGAAGTTTTTTTTTTAACCCAAAAATAGAAACCGACTGCATTCCTCTCGCCCTGACACGCTTAACTGTAGAGTTCTTATAAGACTTCCCTCACAGCTTAATTTCATATGATTTGTGTGCGAGCTTATATCATTGATTTTTATAAGCTTACAATTAGATACTATAATTACGACCGGTTTAAGTTTTATTTTTTTAGTAATTAATTATCAGCTTATACAATTATATTTTTAGGATTTTTTTAAAAAAAAAAAACGAATATTATTTTTTGGCTGAAAAAGTAGGTAATAGCTGATAAACTAGCTTATGAGTTAAAAGTATAGGGCATGGGGCCGTTTTGCCCCGTTATTGTCGACGTGGGCGGTTCTTAACGGCGTGGTGACGCCTGAAACACCACCCCATTGTGGGGTTATGGTTCCAACGTTGCCATGGTAACAGGGACGGTTCCACTATGGTGCCTATAGTGGCACCGACAACCCCTTATTTTTTCGGATACAATGTAAAAAATTTCGAATTTTTCGTTTTTTCTACATTTGTGCCACTACGTAAAAAGAAAAATGTGTCACCGGCAACACCTACGTGCAACCGGCAACACCTACTACGAAATTATGGGTCCGTCTCTGCATGGTAACGACTTGCAACGCGTGTTTTGTCCAACAAATTTGAACGAATTTGAACTTCTTTGACCAATTAACGGTCACTTTAATTAATAAAAAAATAATTAATTTTTATTTACCTATAAATATATACCATCTATATCAAAATCATTCACATCATTCTTCTCTTTCTCTATATTTTATAAAATTTCAATACTTCCCAAAAAATGGATCTATCGACCAGTCCAACGATGATGATGACGACGATACATTCGTCAGTGTGATGTACGAGTATTGCAGGAACGTGCTACTATAACTAGATCAAACTCCTTTACTAACAAGATGTGCGATGTTAAACAAAAATCGTGAAGAAGAACACGAACATCTAGTTCGCGACTATTTTGCGGACAATTGTGTCTACCAGCCAAGCGATTTCAAAAGAAGGTTTCGTTTGCGAAAAATTGTGTTGTACGGATAGACAAGGCCTTAGAAAGCAGATATCGTTTCTTTCAATTTTTGTATATTTTAAATGTAGCTTTTAGATAAAATAAATACATTTTTTTACCTATTAAATATATGTTTAGGTATAGGTTTTTCCAAATGAGATACCATGCTAGAGGTATGCGAGGATTCACAGGGTTGCAGAAATATGCTACAAATAATTAAACTGATGGATATAGGGGAGTCGTCTGATTCTATTAACGATTATATGAGAATGTCCAAGAGAACTGCGATAGAAAGTTCGTATAGAATGACAAGAGGTGTTGTTGAAACATTTAGTGATGTTTATTGCGGAAACCTTCGTTGAATGATATGCAACAACTATATGTGGCATATGAAAAAAGACATGGTTTTCTGGGTATGCTTGGAAGCATTGATTGCACACACTGAAAATGGAGAAATTGTCTCATGGCGTGGAAAGGTCAGTACGCAAGTGGTCATCATGAAGCGTCTTCGTTGGTATTAGAAGTTGTTGCATCCCAAGATTTATAGTTTTGGCATGCTTATTTCGGGGTTGCAGGTTCTAACAACGACGTCAACGTTCTTGATCAGTCACCATTATCATATTTTGTTAGGAAGGGGACCATA